TGCAATATTGTTTTTTTTTTTAATAAAATATTTAATCGTACACAGTGTATTCCTGATTTTTTTGTGTAGTCGCTTAAATTTAATGAAAATGACAATAACATCAACAAAAGAAAAATAGAAACTTCTTCAAAATAATTATTATTTTAAAGTGTTCTGTATGTAACATGCTATCGATCCTCAAAAAGGATAATACAAGCACAAAATTATGGTACTTACATATTTCGACCGTTACAAAATTTTATAAAAAGAAAAAATGAGCAAAAATCATACATTTTTTCTTTAGAAAGAACCGATCAATTGACCTTACACAAAAAAAATATCGATCAATAAAATGAATTTAAATCTAACAATTTTATTAAATTAATGGAAAAATGCAGTACATGTCGAAGTTCACCGGCGATCCCTGTAACGATGACGATCCCTGTCTCTGTCCCTATCACGGTCCCTGTCGCGATCCCTATCTCTGTCCCTTTCTCGGTCTCTTTCTCGCTCTCTGTCTCTTGATCTATCGCTTGTTCTCCATAAAAACTCATCTACAGACCTATCATATGATCTCTTGTCAGAATATGCTATACTTCTTGTGGCAGGATAATCAGGAAGTGGGAGTCCATCGTAGTATCTTGGGGGAGCTAAATCGTAACCTGCACTTGAATAAAGTCCTGGTGGAGGAACGTAGGGTAGAGGAGGAAGCTGATGTTGCATGGACCTCATGTAGTCTGCAACATATGCTTCGGCTGCTGCTGCTGTGTAAGGTCGGGGTGATTCCCGATCGTAAAAAAATTTGTAACGATCTCTAGATCTGGGAGATGGCGATCTTCTATAAGGAGCACCCGACGACGCCAATCTCCTAGTAGACAAAAAGAATTTTCTACGTGAGTATGACGAATTTCTTCCTCTTATTGAACTTAAAGAAGCATTACGTAGTGCTATTGGCATGCGAGCTTTTGGATGCCTGGGTCCTCTAATTCCATTCTTTTTTGCAGCTTCCTTGGATAAACGTAAAATGGGAGTCAATTCAATACCTTCATCTTCAGGAAATAGACGGCAAAGTTCTTCTGCTACTCTAGGCTCAATTTCTTGACCATCTCTACCTATTTTCACTGGTTTTCCATCATTCCATGGATTATACAAGTGCATTGTCTCACTGAAGGGCAACTCTTTTCTACATATCCAATCTACTTTAAATACACCACCTAGCGCTTTAGCAGAAAGTCCTGGAGGCAAAACCCACGAAATTGCAGGAACATCATGCCTCGATTCACCATGCAACCTAGCAAAACCTGCAAATCTTCCACTTTCTTTTACAGAAAATATTAAAATTACATTTCTTGATTCTCTAAACGCTTGATTTAAATTTGCTTCATTTTGAGGAAGTGTAGACCAAACACCCTTTGCTTTTGACAAGGTGACATTTTCAGCATTATTAGATTTAATTACAAAAAATCTAGTATCTCGAAATAAATAATTTAATTTGGTCATATAGTCATATGATTTTCCTTTTGATCTTGCTAGTTTAGCCGGAGGAGATGTACTTTTTTCTCTCGAACGGCCTCTTTTATGCCTTGAACGACGCCCTTTACCAGAGGAGTCTGAACTAACAGAGCTAATTGAAGGGACACTAGAAGTATCCGAAGTAGTTGCGGAAACATCGCTTTCATAATTTACTTCGTCTAGTTTGTCGTCTCCCATATCGAGACTCAAATTAAGATTCTCTGTGTCTACACTGCCATTCTTCTTGGAATCTTTCGAGTCCATTATTAAATTTAATAAGACAAAAAATTGAAAAGTGACCTTCTTAATTAACACACAACCTCATAGTCAATCAAGGTTTTCCTCCTTGCTGTTATTGTTAATGTAATTAAATTATTTAAGACAATAAAATTGTAACAATAAATACGTAAACCAAAACACTACGCCATGTACGTTGGCATTATTGACGAAATTACCAAACTTTGATATTGCAATTCCCTAGTTACATATGTTTTAGGCGGCGAATTCAAATCCACTTGATACACCTAAATTTTCACTTATAATATAATATAGCAACCAAGCAATAAATTTTTAATGACTTTGTATAAAAAAAGTATCAAGAATTAAATAATAATTTTAATTTCTATAAATGACTACATTATTAATTACATAATTTCGGTAGCATTACTTTCAAAAAATTGCTTTCTTTGAACTAATGGTAAATGCTTTTGTCTTAATATGTAATTCTCATTTCCTAAAGCAGTGTATAATGATGTTCCTTCACTTCCTAATAAGCCTCGAAGTGCAATATTTCGCATTAACACTTTCTCATAATATTCTTTACCACCTTCTTTAAAAATATCATTTTTATTCTTAAGATACTCATCAATTTTTCGTTCAAAATGCAACTGAACTGCATCTTTAATGAAACAGTAAGTAAGAAACATAAAAGCACCGATTAAACCATACATTATAACTCTAATAGCTCTTGGTTTTGCATACATGTTATATTTAACATTCAAGGTGTTGCCCAATCCATATGCTGCAAGAGATGCTGAGACCATTAAAAGTGAGTCAATTGGAAATTTTAAAGTCCTACACATTTCTATTTCTCTAGCCATTGCATAAATTTGTGCATTTTCAGACAGAAAAAGCGATTTATAAAGTAATTTACCGTCATCTAATNAACAGAAATTTCCCTTAACTTGAATTTTCTTTCACTCAAACAAGTCATTGAATTTAGGAGTTCAAGTTAAATAGTCAAAACGTAGTTACTTTGTATTTGTTTGATGTTTATTTACTTTTTACCTATCCATGAAAGAAAGTAAAGATACCACACAATTAATGTTAAATAAAATTTCAAAAAATTATAATAAAAACAACTTAAAATTTTATAATGTTTAAATCACATTGAAACGAAAATGCCCTAAGTAATTTCAGAATGTTACTAAAACACAACATTGGTTCAATAGTACATGTCAAGGTTCATTTAAATTTCACCATTACCATCACATTTTTGATCTATTTAAATAACAATGGCGAGCAAAGATGGTAAAGTCACGAAAACAAAAGAAAACACGAAACTTAACCCTGACCCAGAAGCATCTAACATGATATATTGTGCATACCTACAATAAATACTTTTTTAATTAAGTTTATTTGCCCATTATGATAAATCACTTCCTTAAATCATCAAACAATGACAGTCCCATTACGCTTTGTTTATATTATTATTACTTGGTGATATTAATCAGTAGGGAAAGAGCGAATGTAAAGATAGAAGACGAAAGATTAGAAGAAGTGGCTGATTTTAGGTATCTAAGAAGTCAGATAAGACAGGACGGACGGAATAATAGGGATATCAAGCAGGGGATAGCTCTCGCGGACGATTAATTTAGAAATTCGAAAATATTGCTAAAGGTGTATGTTTGGAGCGCGGCGCTGTACGGGTGCGAAACATGGACGGGAGGCGTGGCGGAAAAGAAAAGGTTAGAAGCGTTCAAAATGTAGTGTTAGGGTGAATGATGAGGATACCGTGGATAGAGAAGGTTAGAAATGAAGAGGTATTGGAAAGAATAGGAGAACAGAGGACTTTATGGAAGTCAATACAAACTAGGCGATATAGGTTGGTAGGACACCTTCTCAGGCTTGAAGGTCTAGTTAGAGACATATTAGAGGCAGAAACAGGAGTTAAGAGGAGTAGAGGTAGACCTAGATTAGATTACTGATCGCAAATAGTTAAGGATGTGGGATATTCTAGTATTAGAGAAATGCGATGATGATAATGACATTAATCTGCAGGACTGATGAAGCATTTTCGTAGTGGAATATAGCATAGTAATTTATCAATTCTGAAAAAAGAAGATGCTACTTAGATCTACCTCTGACATGTGCCCTGTACTTTAATGTCTGTCACGCCACAACACCCACCACATTACAAAAAAATAGTGCTTCTTTAGCATTTTGTAGTACTCTATTTAACCCTCTTGAAATTGGCATGCAAAATTAGCAGGTGAAAATATAAACCAAATGAAGTTAGATTTACTACTAATTATCTAATGGTTTATATTTTTGCCTGCTAATTTAGCATGCCAACTTCAAAGGGGTTACTCTATTTGAGTACTAAAAAGCGCCAAAGCACTAAATTCAAGTAGTAAATAAGAACAATAATGTACAGGCCTAGAAGGACGTGACCATGACAACGATAACACTCTCGCCGTCCGTGCTGCCTTTTCTACCAAGTTCTATTAGGTTGGGATTATAAGCCACAGTAGGAAAAGACAACACGTAAGAAGTGAATGTTATCCTAGTCAGGTCTTTTATTTTCCTTCATGCAGATCCATGACGATATTCCGCATATAGAAGTTTTCAGTAGACTGTATACCCACAAAGTAGCCCCAATTAATATTTATTCACATTTCTCCTCCTTAATTACACCTATGACCTTTAAAAACTTGACCGGTCCTCTCTCTACCTATAAAATTGATCGAGTAATTTGTATGCGATCTCATCAAGAATTCCACATTACCTATTTACTTTTTCTCAAAAATAAAAAAAACCTGGCTTATAAACGCATTAAAGACATGAACATCATCAAGTCACTCACGAACCGACATACATTATCTTTATTATATTAATTACGAACGTCCTAATTTGCAGTAGGTACGATAACGGAATAGGCAGGTACGACGATAATCTCCTCAAATAAAAAAAAAATAATCCGAAAACAATCTAGGTACCTACTAAATACTTTGTAAAATTCAAAACTGAATCGCTCAGAAAGGAAACTGTGCTCAGTGCCGACGCCGCAAAAATAACGGTACCCTGGCAAGAAGTACGACAGCTGGTACGTTCCTTTTTACTCATTTAGAAATGAAGGCCGCATACCAAATTGACCCTACATAATATAAATACATATCCTACGTATGTATTAAAGAAGAAATGGTTCTGCTAAAGATCTTTGAGAGAGTAAAACAGGTTTGTTATAGCGTGTGTACACACCTATAAAAATACAGTAAAACGTTTGTGGAAATCTGATGATGTTGTTGTAAGTGGGTTATAATAAACAAGCACCTCTTTCATAGAAGCAAATGATCGTCATCAGACATTAACTAATTATTTAAATCCGAACAAGACCTACAAGTCCACGCGAAGGGCGTTGTCTAATCCAAAATCGTCCCAAATCTGATACAGATAGATTATTTGCCTTACAAAGGGGTTTGCTATTGACCAGGTACCCACGAAATTAACTCGAATTTATTTTGTATCCCTTTTCCCATATTTGCTATAAAGGCTATAAGGTGACCCTGTTTTTTTTTTTTTGGGGTGGGAATGGGTGAGTGGTGGTGGCTGGGATGAGATAGATGAGGTGGACGAAATTGCCCCTGCATTTGCCTAACGTAAAAACCACAAAAAAAAATCGAGCAGGGCAAACGGACCTGGAATCGAACCGATGTCCTCCCGAATGCCATGCAACGATCTAAACCCCTAGGCCATTTGCCGCTCGGTCAGGTGAGTCTGACATATTATTGACCTTGCAAAATGCATGAATGTGCATAAGTAAAAATAAATAACCAATAGATAATAATTAGACAAAATAGTTAAGACAAAAAATTGATTAATCACAATATGACAGATGTAGAATTTTTGCTTAATAAATACTATAACTAAATAGAATAATTGTTCGTTCTATGACATTAACAAAATTGAATACCCCAATAGGTATACCTACCAAATATAAATTGACTAGAATTTCAATAATTAACTACTTTAAAATTAGTCCTAACTAGGTATACATCAATTTATAAAATAATTAAGATTACTTATTGTTAGGTATAACTTTCAAAAATTCTGTCATTGAGTAGGTAATTACCTATAAGCAATTAAATTAGGTGCCTACTGCACTTATTCAATCGTTTAGCTTAAACTTTCAGAAAAGATCCATATTACACATGTTTACCAAAATGTTTATTTACCTTGGCAATGACATTAACATTTATTTACAATGTAAATGAAGCTACATACATGCTGTAGACGTACGTATAAATCCTCAAAAACAATTAAAAACCAAATCTGTATCTACCTATCACAAAAGTAAAAAACGAAACAATTCTAAGTACCTATATGTACCTACAATTGCAATAAATTATAAGTACTTAACATTTGAATCTTTATAAACATCCTGAACTGTCAATATCAGCACGAAACTGTTTAGTATGTAAAGTATAAAAAGGAATATAGGTAAATATAGATTGTATATCCTTTTCCTCAATTAGGTACATTGAAGGTAAGACAGTAAAGAGTAAAAATAATATACTAAATCACTTACATATGTTTTCTGCGAAGCAAAATCCACATTAAATCAAAATCCTTTCCGTGATTTCCGATAAAACAAGGATCTTTGCACAATTGCCATCCATCTAGGCGATTTGCGATATATTGTATCTGTTGAGACAGAACAGCACTTCATGTTTCCGAAAACACACCCGCAACCGAAACAAAAGGGATCGACGTTTGGAATATTTTTAATTTTACAACTATACGTATTATGTGTCTTAATACGTTACTAATCAAATAATGACACGAATTTCATACATGCAAGGACCGTAAGGACTGGTTTTCGAGAGCAACAACCCGAACATACCTACCCGTAAGATCTCTACGATCTCCTCTACAACTTCAGCACTTCGGTAACGCAAACGAAAGAAGAAAGCAGCAACCAGCCACTCATTCACTCACGCCCGGTTTTTCTCAGCCAATAGGAAACGCCTATTTCGTTCGATTCGAAACGATCATATACGAAGTCAGAGAAGAGAGACGTATATAGAAATACAATGCCGTGTTTCATTTGCGGATCACCCCAGATCACCCCAAGCCGGCAGGTTCCCACCCCAGCCACCAAGTGGCGACACTGCGCCCGCAAGCTTCGATACCCCAACGCTTGGTGGCGACAATGTCATTGCATTAGCCGCGCCTATTTTACTAAAGAAGGATGCGCACGCATAGAAAATAAGTTTGGCGGCAGAAAAAATCATCTTGAATTTTTAGATTTTCTGAGATTCTTGGAAAGTTAACACTTCGAGCGAAATAATTCGAGCGAAAACTTATTATCTTTTTTAATTTGTTTAATTACATTAACAGTGCATAAAATTTGTGTTGTTTTTTTGCGAGTGTGTTCAGTGTATAAATTATTGTGCATTGTAATCGTAAAAATGCCATCTACAAATATTTGTGCATTTTTAAAATGTAAAAATACATCAACGAGAATGCCACATCTCTCGTTTCACCGTTTTCCAAAAAATGAAAGGTAAGCATTTTCAGTTAATTTTTGTTTTCAAAATTATTGTTACATTATTACTATTACTATGATTATTATCACTGATAAAGGTAATTTTATACTTTCGCGGTCCCCTCGTTTTTTGGCTCTAGAAAATCGAAAAATCATCCGATTTCGATGAATTTTGTTTTAAAATCTTTGTTTTTACGGCGGATTTATAAAAAAAAATACGGGAAATATCTCACCTGGAGATTTCATATAGNTTCTTTAGAAAGAACCGATCAATTGACCTTACACAAAAAAAATATCGATCAATAAAATGAATTTAAATCTAACAATTTTATTAAATTAATGGAAAAATGCAGTACATGTCGAAGTTCACCGGCGATCCCTGTAACGATGACGATCCCTGTCTCTGTCCCTATCACGGTCCCTGTCGCGATCCCTATCTCTGTCCCTTTCTCGGTCTCTTTCTCGCTCTCTGTCTCTTGATCTATCGCTTGTTCTCCATAAAAACTCATCTACAGACCTATCATATGATCTCTTGTCAGAATATGCTATACTTCTTGTGGCAGGATAATCAGGAAGTGGGAGTCCATCGTAGTATCTTGGGGGAGCTAAATCGTAACCTGCACTTGAATAAAGTCCTGGTGGAGGAACGTAGGGTAGAGGAGGAAGCTGATGTTGCATGGACCTCATGTAGTCTGCAACATATGCTTCGGCTGCTGCTGCTGTGTAAGGTCGGGGTGATTCCCGATCGTAAAAAAATTTGTAACGATCTCTAGATCTGGGAGATGGCGATCTTCTATAAGGAGCACCCGACGACGCCAATCTCCTAGTAGACAAAAAGAATTTTCTACGTGAGTATGACGAATTTCTTCCTCTTATTGAACTTAAAGAAGCATTACGTAGTGCTATTGGCATGCGAGCTTTTGGATGCCTGGGTCCTCTAATTCCATTCTTTTTTGCAGCTTCCTTGGATAAACGTAAAATGGGAGTCAATTCAATACCTTCATCTTCAGGAAATAGACGGCAAAGTTCTTCTGCTACTCTAGGCTCAATTTCTTGACCATCTCTACCTATTTTCACTGGTTTTCCATCATTCCATGGATTATACAAGTGCATTGTCTCACTGAAGGGCAACTCTTTTCTACATATCCAATCTACTTTAAATACACCACCTAGCGCTTTAGCAGAAAGTCCTGGAGGCAAAACCCACGAAATTGCAGGAACATCATGCCTCGATTCACCATGCAACCTAGCAAAACCTGCAAATCTTCCACTTTCTTTTACAGAAAATATTAAAATTACATTTCTTGATTCTCTAAACGCTTGATTTAAATTTGCTTCATTTTGAGGAAGTGTAGACCAAACACCCTTTGCTTTTGACAAGGTGACATTTTCAGCATTATTAGATTTAATTACAAAAAATCTAGTATCTCGAAATAAATAATTTAATTTGGTCATATAGTCATATGATTTTCCTTTTGATCTTGCTAGTTTAGCCGGAGGAGATGTACTTTTTTCTCTCGAACGGCCTCTTTTATGCCTTGAACGACGCCCTTTACCAGAGGAGTCTGAACTAACAGAGCTAATTGAAGGGACACTAGAAGTATCCGAAGTAGTTGCGGAAACATCGCTTTCATAATTTACTTCGTCTAGTTTGTCGTCTCCCATATCGAGACTCAAATTAAGATTCTCTGTGTCTACACTGCCATTCTTCTTGGAATCTTTCGAGTCCATTATTAAATTTAATAAGACAAAAAATTGAAAAGTGACCTTCTTAATTAACACACAACCTCATAGTCAATCAAGGTTTTCCTCCTTGCTGTTATTGTTAATGTAATTAAATTATTTAAGACAATAAAATTGTAACAATAAATACGTAAACCAAAACACTACGCCATGTACGTTGGCATTATTGACGAAATTACCAAACTTTGATATTGCAATTCCCTAGTTACATATGTTTTAGGCGGCGAATTCAAATCCACTTGATACACCTAAATTTTCACTTATAATATAATATAGCAACCAAGCAATAAATTTTTAATGACTTTGTATAGAAAAAGTATCAAGAATTAAATAATAATTTTAATTTCTATAAATGACTACATTATTAATTACATAATTTCGGTAGCATTACTTTCAAAAAATTGCTTTCTTTGAACTAATGGTAAATGCTTTTGTCTTAATATGTAATTCTCATTTCCTAAAGCAGTGTATAATGATGTTCCTTCACTTCCTAATAAGCCTCGAAGTGCAATATTTCGCATTAACACTTTCTCATAATATTCTTTACCACCTTCTTTAAAAATATCATTTTTATTCTTAAGATACTCATCAATTTTTCGTTCAAAATGCAACTGAACTGCATCTTTAATGAAACAGTAAGTAAGAAACATAAAAGCACCGATTAAACCATACATTATAACTCTAATAGCTCTTGGTTTTGCATACATGTTATATTTAACATTCAAGGTGTTGCCCAATCCATATGCTGCAAGAGATGCTGAGACCATTAAAAGTGAGTCAATTGGAAATTTTAAAGTCCTACACATTTCTATTTCTCTAGCCATTGCATAAATTTGTGCATTTTCAGACAGAAAAAGCGATTTATAAAGTAATTTACCGTCATCTAATTCCCAAGGAACAGATTCCTGTCTTAACTAGAAATATACAGATTTCATATAACAACTGAAACTCATAAAATAGTGTAGTACCTTTATAACACTTTTATCCACCATATCATCATCTATATATGTAAAATTAAAGGGTATTCCAATTATTGAACCAAATCTACTACGTGTAGTTCCAGCACTAAACACATCAAAGCCGACTGAAAAGAACGGACGTATGAAAAGTCGTTCAATATCAGGTATTTCCAAGATGTCTAGGGCTTTGTTAAATCGTTCTTTTATAGGTTTAGTTAAAGGTACAGTAAAGCCATTTCTATAAAAATGGGAACCAATTATGAAGTGAATAATAGCTATAAGGCAATTTTTACTTATAAAAGTGTAAGACATCCCTATATTGGTCTATAAATATGGTATTCGGCAATACTTTAATAAACATTAAACCTGCGATACCAGTACAGGCAGCTCCTGCAGTGAAATTTTTCCCTTTCTTGGTAAGTAACCAAGACCCAAATTTACTTATTATACTCATTTAAAAAACATTTAAAGGTATTTAAAAATGAAATTTTTTAATAATTATGAATTATTTACTGATTAATTACAATTAGTTAACCTACAATTTTCAGTCATATTTGTAGGTTATAACACCACCATAGAACCACCACCACTATAGATATACGCGATATATGCTACAAGCCATAGACAACCAAAACCATTCTCTATAGGCATGCCCATAAGCCAATTACAGAATCACCAACCGTTTAAGTCATAGATACTCTAATATTGTTATATTTTGAAACTTTATTTTGCAATATAATGCTGCTTGTTTTTTTGTTATGTATGTACTGCATAAATTATTTATGCCAAAATAAATTTGCCTTTAGAATCTGTAGAAAAATAAAATAACGAATGCTCTTTTGATAATAAGACTGTTATGCATGCCTAACCACCTTCAGTTAAATCGCAATGTCAGTTAACCATCATCTGACACATGAAAATACCGATAATGACTGAATATTGCGCAAGGTCAACGTCAACACCGTCATTTGCTGACGATAAGTTCGCAATTGTGGCTAGTGAAATAACGAAACGAAGTGAATGTACAATGTGAGTGTTGTGAAAATTTGCAATCCTTCAAAAATCATGATCAAATTAAATAGAAATACGTTACGAGTACTTGCGTTCGCAGTATTGTGTGTTCATGTTTTAAAATGTCAAGAAGTCGATAGCCCTGCGCCTGAAATTAGTAAACCTTTAGATCAAGTTTCTTCGTCGTCTACTACATCTACCACAACAGTTAAATCCATAATTGAGGCTGTTTCTACATCATCGTCGCTGTTAGATCATAACAACAACAGTGCCAAGCCACTGTCGTCATCTCCCCCTTCAGCTTCACCTTTACCCTCTACAGCTATACCAAATGTAGACGTTAAAAATAATGTCAACAGGTCTAGTAGTAGTTCTCAACCACCATCTGAAGTAACGACTCCAACAGCAATTATAAGTTCAAGTGTAAAACCAAACAACACAAATGGTAGTTCCACGACACCTTCAGCAGACCCTGTTTTACCTGCGAAAGAATCGGCCGAAGATGAACATAATAGTTCTATGGCGATTTTCTTTGTATTATGTGTCCTGGCTCTAGGAATACTTCTTATTCACTTCATGTTACAGACAGGATTCCAATATTTGCCAGAAAGTATCGTAATAGTTATTCTTGGTGCAATTGTAGGCATGACCTTGAATGCTTTATCTAACAGAAATATTAGCAATTGGAGAAAGGAGGAAGCATTTTCACCAACTGCCTTTTTTCTGGTACTTTTACCTCCAATCATATTTGAATCAGGGTACAATTTGCACAAAGGTAACTTTTTTCAAAATATTGGATCTATACTAGTTTTTGCAATATTTGGAACAACAATCTCTGCATTTATTATTGGTTTTGGAGTCTACTTCCTAGGATTAGCTGAGGTGGTTTATAAATTAAGCTTTGTTGAATCTTGTGCTTTTGGATCCTTGATTTCTGCAGTTGACCCTGTTGCTACAATAGCAATTTTTCAAGCTCTAAATGTCGACCCTATTTTGAATATGTTAGTTTTTGGTGAAAGTATCTTAAATGATGCAATCGCCATAGTATTGACAACAGCAGTTTTGGAGTCTAATAATCCTCTTATGTCAACAGGAGAGGCTATTCTACAAGGTTTTAACAGGTTTTGTTTGATGTTCTTCGCATCTGCCGGTATTGGTGTTCTGTTCGCCCTTGTCAGCGCATTGCTTTTAAAGCATATTGATTTACGAAAAAATCCTTCTCTTGAATTTGGAATGATGTTGGTCTTCACATATGCTCCTTATGTATTAGCTGAAGGTATACATCTATCTGGAATAATGGCAATTCTGTTCTGTGGAATTGTAATGTCTCACTATACCCACTTTAATCTGTCCACTGTAACGCAGATTACAATGCAACAGACCCTTCGAACATTAGCTTTTATTGCTGAAACTTGTGTGTTTGCCTATTTGGGCTTGGCACTCTTCAGCTTTAAACATCGTGTTGAACCTGCTTTTATCATTTGGAGTATCATTCTTTGTCTTATTGGCAGAGCCTGCAGCATTTTCCCGCTTGCATTTCTAGTTAATAAATTTAGAGAGCACCAAATAACAAAAAAGATGATGTTCATTATGTGGTTCAGCGGCCTGAGGGGTGCAATTTCGTATGCCTTATCTCTTCATTTAAGCTTCAGCGACGAAACGAGACATGTTATAATTACAACTACTCTTATTATTGTCTTATTTACTACCCTATTCTTTGGCGGCTCTACAATGCCCCTTCTGAAATTTATGCAAGCCACTAAGAACCCCGCAAGAAGATCTAGAAAGCGCAAGAAGGACAAAGAAGTATTTTTAAGTAAAACCAAAGAATTGGGACAAACTTTAGAATCAGAACATTTATCAGAAACTACAGAAGGAGAAATGGATGTGTCTTTTGCTTCTGCTCGAATTAAAGGCTTTGCAAAATTGGACTTGAAATATTTCATTCCATTCTTCACAAGGAGGTTTACTCAACAGGTAAGAAGTTTAAAGTTAGAAGATAAAACGGAGAATTCTAATAAAAAAAGATCATTTAAGTAAGTTCACAAAAAGTCAAGAAATTGTTCAATATACAAAAAAAATTCAGAATGAGAAGTTCCTTTTTTTTACAGCTGAAAAGCGAAATCAGCATACAATCAAATTAAGTCACATTTAATATCACACTAAAAATATAATGACTAATATTGTTGATAAAACAGTCTATTTAGTGCTGATAACAAGTTTTATGAACATGTTTATCTACACTTGTTAATATTTATCTGCTAGATTGCATATAATTGACTTTAAAAATAGAATTCTGTGGCCGCATATTTAAATAGTTAACAACTGGAAACTATAAGTTTTTAAGTTGGTTTTAAAAACAAATATTACAATTTACCGAACTTTTTCTTTAGCAAGTTATTTCGTAAAATGTAGAACAAGGTCTTGTTTAATTACCGCATAGTTTCTAATCACCCAAGTAAAAACGTAATTTTTGATCGGTAAACAACATAGGTATTCGTATTTGTATAGTATCGATAATTATCCGAGAAACAAATGAAAAAAGATATTTAAAAACTTTTACGAAACCTGAAAGTAAAATGTTCTATTCATATTAAGTCATCCTTGTTCTTATAATTAATTCGCTAGTTACATCCGATAAAGTAATCTTAATGGCAATTTCGAAAATAAATATTTATTTTTTCTTTAAAGGAACTGAAAGATTGTAAAAGCCAAATGACGGATCTAACAAACCAATGGTATCAAGCGATTCGAATATCACCAGATCATTCGGACGAAGAGCCAGTTGTTCCGGCAACAACATCCAGAACTAGCAGCATATCGAGCATCGTTCGCTGACTAGGAGCAGAAGAAGGAGAAGTTCAACCATTTTTAATTAAGAAAAGACCCTAATTGGCAATTTTAAATTAATTTTAATCCCAGTTATACCCTATCGCGCTTATTACAAAACCCTTCTAAACAATATGCAGTACTTATAAATGCATACATGTGTGTAAAGTACGACGTATACATCGTTTTTTAAAATATATATATATATTTCCGTTTTAACTGCATGATTATTACAGGGTTTTATTAAATATATTTCAAATGTCACGAAAAAATTCAAATACTTTCGTTCTGATATATGCAAGTCACAGTTGTATATTTTTTGAAGAAATATTTTCCGTTATTAGGCGATCTAATTAACAAGTGAAAAGGCAAAGGTTTTCACAGTCAACATTATCTGAAAAGGGTTCGATATTCGGGGTTGATGGCCGTGGTATAGGTTTGGTTAGTACACAGATGGAATAGTTTATTCGACGTTTCGCCAGCTGCTGTGGTTGAGACAGTCTCAGCACAACCTGAAGCGATGGATTTACGCCCTCTCGTTCGTTCCGTCACAGCAGCTGGGGAAACTTAGAATAAATAACTCCGTCTGCAGACTTGCCAAAGCCTGAATATGGGCCCCTCTTTCAATTAACTAGTATTTTTCAAAAATAGTATTTATGAGTTCCTGTGTTGTTTTTGTTTCCTATTTTTGTTTTTTTGTTTCNGACATTAACAAAATTGAATACCCCAATAGGTATACCTACCAAATATAAATTGACTAGAATTTCAATAATTAACTACTTTAAAATTAGTCCTAACTAGGTATACATCAATTTATAAAATAATTAAGATTACTTATTGTTAGGTATAACTTTCAAAAATTCTGTCATTGAGTAGGTAATTACCTATAAGCAATTAAATTAGGTGCCTACTGCACTTATTCAATCGTTTAGCTTAAACTTTCAGAAAAGATCCATATTACACATGTTTACCAAAATGTTTATTTACCTTGGCAATGACATTAACATTTATTTACAATGTAAATGAAGCTACATACATGCTGTAGACGTACGTATAAATCCTCAAAAACAATTAAAAACCAAATCTGTATCTACCTATCACAAAAGTAAAAAACGAAACAATTCTAAGTACCTATATGTACCTACAATTGCAATAAATTATAAGTACTTAACATTTGAATCTTTATAAACATCCTGAACTGTCAATATCAGCACGAAACTGTTTAGTATGTAAAGTATAAAAAGGAATATAGGTAAATATAGATTGTATATCCTTTTCCTCAATTAGGTACATTGAAGGTAAGACAGTAAAGAGTAAAAATAATATACTAAATCACTTACATATGTTTTCTGCGAAGCAAAATCCACATTAAATCAAAATCCTTTCCGTGATTTCCGATAAAACAAGGATCTTTGCACAATTGCCATCCATCTAGGCGATTTGCGATATATTGTATCTGTTGAGACAGAACAGCACTTCATGTTTCCGAAAACACACCCGCAACCGAAACAAAAGGGATCGACGTTTGGAATATTTTTAATTTTACAACTATACGTATTATGTGTCTTAATACGTTACTAATCAAATAATGACACGAATTTCATACATGCAAGGACCGTAAGGACTGGTTTTCGAGAGCAACAACCCGAACATACCTACCCGTAAGATCTCTACGATCTCCTCTACAACTTCAGCACTTCGGTAACGCAAACGAAAGAAGAAAGCAGCAACCAGCCACTCATTCACTCACGCCCGGTTTTTCTCAGCCAATAGGAAACGCCTATTTCGTTCGATTCGAAACGATCATATACGAAGTCAGAGAAGAGAGACGTATATAGAAATACAATGCCGTGTTTCATTTGCGGATCACCCCAGATCACCCCAAGCCGGCAGGTTCCCACCCCAGCCACCAAGTGGCGACACTGCGCCCGCAAGCTTCGATACCCCAACGCTTGGTGGCGACAATGTCATTGCATTAGCCGCGCCTATTTTACTAAAGAAGGATGCGCACGCATAGAAAATAAGTTTGGCGGCAGAAAAAATCATCTTGAATTTTTAGATTTTCTGAGATTCTTGGAAAGTTAACACTTCGAGCGAAATAATTCGAGCGAAAACTTATTATCTTTTTTAATTTGTTTAATTACATTAACAGTGCATAAAATTTGTGTTGTTTTTTTGCGAGTGTGTTCAGTGTATAAATTATTGTGCATTGTAATCGTAAAAATGCCATCTACAAATATTTGTGCATTTTTAAAATGTAAAAATACATCAACGAGAATGCCACATCTCTCGTTTCACCGTTTTCCAAAAAATGAAAGGTAAGCATTTTCAGTTAATTTTTGTTTTCAAAATTATTGTTACATTATTACTATTACTATGATTATTATCACTGATAAAGGTAATTTTATACTTTCGCGGTCCCCTCGTTTTTTGGCTCTAGAAAATCGAAAAATCATCCGATTTCGATGAATTTTGTTTTAAAATCTTTGTTTTTACGGCGGATTTATAAAAAAAAATACGGGAAATATCTCACCTGGAGATTTCATATAGTTTTATGAATTTAAATGTGATCATAAACGCAGTTCTTCGCATATAATCGTTTATAACTTTCTTACAAAGCATCAAACGCAGTTCATATATTTTTTTTTGTTGATCTACATAAAAAAACGAACATTTTGGAAAAAGAAAAATTAAAAAATGTTTGTTTATTGAAAGGTCAATTTTAAGAAAAATTGTTATTATTTTTAATTGTAAAAACATGATAAATCAACATTTTTATATATTTTTTTTTTATTTGTTCGTTTTTTTGTGTAGATTATGAAAAAAAAATAACAACTTCATTTGATTACTTGGAAAAAAGTTATCAACAATTATACATGAATGAGTGCATTTTCATGAACATTTAAAGCCATGAAACCAATATAAGTTTTCATTTTTTTTTATTTCCATATTTTTTTTCATAAATCCGCCGTAAAAATAAACATTTAAAAAAAAATTAATCGAAATCGGATGATTTTTC